TAAGACGTGCGTGTATCACCTTTTCCAATTTATTATAAATGAGTTCTTCTTCGCCTCCCATCTTAACACATGCAGCCCGATGCAAACCTGCAAAGCCTCCTGGCTATTTTGAATTTTTTATACTGCTGAAGTGTGTCCATGTCTAGATTCTCACCACCGTGAATACAAAAATTGCCTTGTGCTACTATTGAATTAAAAATGAAGGAAGCAAGCATAAGACGGCCTAATCACTCGCCAGAATTTTTGTTCCAATCCGAAGAATCAACTAGTGTTAAATGGACAACGATTCTTATTTCCTTAGACATCAACTAAGGCTCTTAATTTGTTCTCTTAATTTAATTAATCTCCAATGCGGCTGAATGAAGACATCACTGAGTATTTAAGGAAGACAGAATGATACCCAGGGTCACATTGAATATAAAATATTATTCTGAAATTCGAAGCATAACTAGTTTTAAAAAAATGTATTGGTCATATCGTAAAAGTGAAATACTCCTACAAATTGTGACCCAGTTAATGAATGTAGATTTGAACCGAAAACTTTTACGTCAAACTATTTGGGATGACTGAAGATGACCGTATGGATTAATCAATCGGGGTGGATATGGACATGGATATGGATTGAATAAACAATGATGAGTGGTCTTGAGGAAACCACCTGTGTGGAGAGGACTAAACGTTCTTGAAGAATTGGGTATTACCAAACGGTTATTCTTGCAATCGCAGAGCAATTCCAATGTGTTGTGGCCTTTGAATTGGATAAGGACTTTGATCTCTTAGAGCGAATACATGGGTTTGTGGTTTACAGTTTCTCTGATCATTTGCGCATATCAAAATGTTGCCTATGACTGTAATTTGATTCCAAAGCATCTTTTTCCCAAACTGTTGGTTAATTTTATTTCCAGGAATAATTACTGGTACTTCAATTGCTCTCAGAGTTTTAAAGTATTTCTAAATTGTACAGTCCATTAACTTACAAATTCACTAAATCCCCATTGAAGATTGTTTGAAATGAACCAATCTCTAGAGAGTGGATGAATAATCCACTCACCATTTAATTGATAGGTTTTCTGATGAAAGGGTAAGATTGTAAAGATGGACAGATGCTCTGGTAATGCCTCACTAAGTTGAGATGACTGGCAGAAGCACTTGAGTGGTGAATTAACTATCCTTAAACTAAATCGCGTTTTGGACATTTTCGTTGGAATTAAAGATACAAGTAGGTAATTACATGAGCTAGATTACAACAATGGAAAGTCCATTTCTCAAGTGAGAGTGCGAAGAGCCATACATGAACCAAGTGGATTACTAAATAGCGATATCAACTCGGATGAGAAAGGAAATAATTACTGTTTGTTTGCACAAGTATATAAGCGATGCATCCTGCAAATGTTCTTTGGGCCAAAGTATTTGTTTGTAAATATAAATTCGAGAAGTGTTTAGTGAGTTATACTCCAAAATGAAGGTCAAATCCTTAATTTGTTTTAATTTTCAGACGACTATCAATGCTTGGATACCACGGTGAGTCGAGGTCAAAATGTGCCAACAAGTTGTGAAGCTTATTATCAAACCCACCAGACCAATGTAGGCATCTGGGATCCTCGTTACCAGGCGACAACCACCACATCTTGGCCCAGAAATGAATTGAATCTCCCCGGAGCGTCTCGCTATGTCGCAACAACTGCTAACAATTTGAATATTAAAGATGGCGACGACGAGGGTGACTGTGGAAGTGAAAGTTTAGAGCTCATGAAAAACTCCTTCCCTGACAATTATGTTGACAACCGAACCGATGAAACTTTGCCAACACCTCCCCAGGGTCTTTTAAAGCATTCGAACTCCTCAGCTGTCACGATTTCTAGAAATCTTAATTTTCCCAAGGCCACGTTTGTCTGATTTAAATGTGAAGTTTTGTACATAGGCTTATTATAAGCGAAGGACATCTCCTGTTTATGCATCCTACCGCTTATCTCATTTTACGCATCAACTTCCTCCACCACAAATCTTGTCGTGCGTTGTTTAATGATTTTGTCTATTGTGTGAATAAACGAATACGCAATCGACTTGTGTATTTCAGTCGACTTTGACGTTAAATTTGGTAGATTAATAAACTTAAAAACTATCGCTAATCTAGTGTAGACAGGTACATGCGGTTTTGAGTTTTCTCTGTAAAATCGAAATTTATGTCCATTTAAATGTTAATAATGAAGTTCTTTGAATAGTAATTGTGACCGGTATTTTGGAAACTATGACTAATTTTGGGAATTCGGTTTTATTCCAAATTTTTTGTTCATTGTTCTTTTGACTTCCCCTAACGAAAGTCGGTCCACTTATCCACTTAATTAGTTGAATTAATGAAAAGTGGTTCAAATTCTCCAGAGCACATCAAGCTATTCACCTAGTGAGCAGGACAGCATAAACCGCTGCTCTGAGTAGGAAAATGAGATTCATTCATTTCACCCAGGACCACACTACATATGCAATTCGGTTAACTGTCATCAACCGGTCGTTTGGAGAGGGTGCTGGTGGAACATAGCTTAAACATTCAGTATTTATGTTTTGTGTAAGGGTGTGAAATTCTCTTAGGCTGTCTCAAAGTCACCGTTATTCCACTGATGTTTTAACCTGCAAATATTAGTTGTGTAAAGACTTCTATTCATTTTTATATAAACTTCATTCGTAGCCTAGTAAGCGCATGAATTATTCATTTCAAATGGCGGGCTTTATGACACTTATCATCAGTCCTATAGCTGACTTCGGGTTTCACAAAGGGGAGGAACATCAAAGTGAGAAAAAAGTGGAGAGGAGGAACAGAAGAGTGATTCAAAGATGTTAAAGAGACCGACAGACAGACACAAAGGCAGAGAAATGGTAAGATGAGTACTGTGGAAGTAGTGGAATATGACATACAGTGGGGTCATGGCAATTTGAAGTCAGAAGTCAACTGCCGGTTTATAGACTTTTTTTGCCGTATGAGTATAAGTTACCCAGGGTGCACCACGTAGAGGTAAGTCTACCGCACCCCAGCGCATGAATTATTTTCGTAGCACAATGACTATTCCTACAGCTAAGTTGGAATTTCTTTCAAAAACCATTAACCAACCTGAATGTAGAGCATTAGAATTCGTCAATTTTCGTAAACAGATGAGAGTGGGATTTCTGCTTTAAGGTATAAGTAAGCCGGTGCTTTAATTGTGAGAGAAGTGGGCTATCTCAGACATTCTTTGAGATTTACTTTTGCCAAGGAGTATTTAAATCCTGTAGAAATACTGCATTCAAATTAATTAGAACTGATTTGGGATTACACAACTGACAATAAAATGAATGTGGTATCTTCCTATGTATAAGTCGGTAGCTAATGTTATCTGCGACTTGAATACTCTGATGAACCACCCACATTCAAGGATAAAGAGTTATCATTCAAATCTCGAGAACAAGAGAATTTTCAAATCGCACTCATCACATTTAACTTTCATCTTCTTCCTTTTAAAGCACCATTAAAAGGTGCACTGTCTTACTCATATCCTTGATACAAGCTCCAAACACTTAATACTCCATTTCAAAAGGGAGAAACGTTGGAAAGTGGCACCCTCCGACATAGCCAACTGGCCAAGAATCGAAGCCGTTGCTGAGTTTAGGCTACGTACCGGACACGATTGCCTGGCAAAACATCTTCACAGATTGGGAGCATACATTCAACCCACATGCCCTCTATGTAACCTACAGGAGGAAATGGAGAAGACCCACCTGATTCGGTGTCCAGCCCTAAAGTCAGAGATACTGGGAAGCAAGAAGACAGCTAATGAACTGCTATTAATTAACTGCTATATATGTACCCCCCATCCACCCATGGGGTAAGCTGAAGTCAAAGTTTAAGGGCTAATGATAAATATCATAATGCCTGTGATTTGAAATAATAATATTCCATTTCATAACCGATGTCCAATCTAAGACTTAATCGGTTAGATTTCACCAAAAATGCAACCAAACTTAAGCATTTCGGAACAAGGGAGTAGAAAAGAGACGATAAAAATATTTCAGTAAGTGCAAATACTTGTAACTGGATGCTAACCGGTTTCCTTGTTCATAATATGTCAAAATACAAGGATTTTATTAGCCACGAGTTAGCTTGTTTAACCCTTCATTGCGATCAAAATAGCGGTAAAGAATCACCAAACAAGTAAATTAATTCAATTTAAAGTCCTATTGAAGCAAGTGTAATTCCGCTAAGTGTTTCACCTTTATTTATCAGCAATCAACAATGACTTGGCCCTTATAAAGTGTCCCCCACCCCTTCATTCTGACTCAGAAGTCTTATGAATATTTGATACTTCCAAAGATAGACTTACCTCCAAGTGGTGCACCCTGGGCAACGTATATTCATACGGCAAAAAAGTCTATTGACTGGCAGTTGACTTCTCACTTCAAACTACCATCACCTCACCCTATGCCATATTCGACTATTTTTACAGTACTCACCTCACCTTTGTTCTACCTTTGTGTTTGTCTCTTCCATCTTTGAAACACTCTTCTGTCCCCCCCCCCCTATCGACTTTTTCAATTTCATGTTTCTTCCCCTCTGTGAAGCCTGAAGTCAACTAAAGGGCTAATGATAACCATCAAGACGCCTGCCATTTGATATAAATAAATACTTCCAAAGAGATTATTTTGCTAGGTCATCCTTCTTAAAAGGACTACAAGATTTACTGGTCGCCTAATTTGGTTGAGCGGGAACGCCAATTGATTTTGAATCTGTCAACAGAGTACTGGATTCCAAATTACCGCATTTACCGTAATTACCGCAATAATAATTTATTATATCTGAGAAATCTTATCAAGATATGCGGCTAGGATCTATTAATAAATGGTATGTATTCCGCGAAACACAGAAGTTTAATTTAACACATATAGAAAATAAAAAATTGTTTAAATAAATCTTTTTTCGAGTGAATTAAATAATAAAACCACTTTAACATGGAAAAATTTTCACATTTGAGAGGAATATTGAAAAATGTCATTCAAATTACGCGATAATTGTTACGAGACAACAACGCTTTGGACATTTTGACATGATGGTGATGGTGATGAGAAACGAAAATGTCAATAACTGCTACATTTTAAACTCCATTGAAAGAGACAAATTGTCAAAACTGAAAGGTAATTTATTGGTATTAGTTGGCTTCCCATTGCTCAACACTTCTAAACGAAGTATTCAATACAATTGATTAATTGCAGTTTTAGCTATTATTATTAATCACCAAATTATTAGTCAATCTTTCCTTAATAATTTTTTGATGGGTCGTGTACCATTTGGCACCCTTTCTGGAGAGAAGAGAAGCATTATATTGACTTTTCCCTATTTATTATGCATGCACCAGTGGATTTTGATGCATAATCTCCATATTGTCATACAGGCCCGATGACTGCAGTGTCATCTACCGAAAGGCATCATTTAAATTGGAGCACTCAGGGATTACAGGAAGACTAATCAAATATTCACACTACAACCAAGGGAGTCTAAAAGGCCTTGATTATTGATTATTGGATTTCTGTGCTAGTATTCAGATAGGTAACATCACCACTGAAGCTAATAACACTAATACTATTGGTTACTCAGGTGACAAATATGTGTCGTGTATCCAATCCTATGCAGGCTGTGGGACTTCTTTCTCTCAAATTTTAAAAAGAATTAAATAATGATAATAATAATAATAAAATAATTATCCCTAAATGCAACTAAGAGTGCTTATCTACACGTTTCCAGTTAGGGACCGGACAGTTCCGTGTTTCTACTGGCAAATGTCCCATTTCCCTATCAATTTTTATACTATTTCCTTTCCACTGAAGAATCTCAAATCTGCGAATCTGGTGATTTATGCATTCCTGATACTAGTCAACAATTTGATCCGGTTACCTACTTATCAGTGAATGCACTTTTGGACATCTAATAATTAAATGATTGATCATGCAACTGGAGTAGTTGCCTATAGTTTCATTGTGGTAAAATGTGCCTTGGACAATTGAACGATGAGCGTCACTCATCACGACATCTCCCAAAATATCAGCAAATGTCATTCCATGTTTCCCACACAGTTGTTATCCTGTCTGGTTTCCAGGGTCGAGCACCCACTAATCAGCAACATAATTGCTCGCGAACTCTAACGGCACGGGACATGAAAAAGATGGACAGCTGGAAGTAATTGTGGGTCACTCGTTGAACGACCTTGATTAAACCTCATTTTCACTTAGGTTCTAGGTAAAGGTGTTGGGCATCACTCAATTTTCATGTGTTCGCTTGATCATATTCGTTGAATCGTTTCCCTCGTTCGTTGTCTAATTCGGTAAAATCACCACAACAAACAACAAGTGTAGCAAGAGGTTGACATTTTAGTGGGGTGAGTGCATGTGGGTGGGAAGAAATTTTACAGCAGCTTATGCCTTTTGCGCAAATGGACGCACTTAAAGGCATTGTTTGTATTCTCTATGCTTCGATCATTGTCAAGCCCCCAAACCCTTCCCCCAAACTCCCAAACGACCAACTTTGTTTGACTAAGTGCAAGATCGCATTTGATGGGACTGCTCTTTATACTCCTTTATCTGAGCTACTAACTGCAATTGATTATATTTGAAATAATCTTCTGAAGCAGAGTGCGGTAGTGAGTCCTTCTCACAAGGAGTAGCATGTATTGTGTATTATGATAGACGCAGAATTGAAAATTATATTGGAGAATAGAATAGAATGGAGGAATAAATGAGTGAATGCATGCTGGTGCCCACTAGTACCTGAAAGGAATTCAATTCTCCCAAATGGGTTATCGGGATAACACCACTGCACAGGCCAGATATTATTGGTGCTTATAGTAGTGAACTTGAAAAGACTCATCGAAGACTCATGG